AGCTATGAGCTTCCCATGTTCTAAGATTTTAAGGATAGTGTCTTAGTATTAGTTAGTGCTTTTTTACCAATATCATGAGAGTGCCGTAAATCAAAAAAAGGACATGCCTCTAATGTCCAAAAACCAAGAAACTCTCACATTATAAACCGGTTCCTGGTCACTGATGTTTTTAACCAATATCATGAGATTTGATTCAATATTTGATGATGGATTTGTGACAAGAAAACTCTTTGACTTGCTCATCTTAATTGCATACTAGATGATCTTAGGATTATGTTCTGCAGCTGTGTGTACTTGTACAAATCAAAAGTAAATAAATCAAATCTGCAGCCGGATTAACAAGAGTTTCAGCCTTCTCCAATGTTGTGTAATACACAGGGGAGCTCTAGCTCACACAGTGCTTCACGCACCAACCGCGCATACTGGGAGGGAAGAAAAGGGATTAGATCCAAACCCTTACTCACAATGTCACCTGTTAATTAGAATCAATGTAAAGATATCCAGAAAAGAAGACAACAGGTTATTAATAGTGCACCTCAAGTCAAAAACATACTACTCTCATACATTATAAAGTATCAATGTTTGCGCCGATGAGGAATGGAAACCTGCACAATTTCTTTCACAGAAGAAAACCATTACAAGGGAAGGAGAAACAGAGCACCAAAACAAAAAGTGGTATCCAAGAATGAAAACAAAAACCCATTGCTCTGTCTCGTACATACCCTTTAGCACAAGGATATACAACCTGAAAACCAACAAAATAATCAAGCATTGACTTTCTTTTATTGCTTCCAGAACATGTTAATGTGCTATCTCTCTTGGGAAAAAGAGATCCAGTTCTTACTTCTACATAAAGGTCTAGCTCAAGTAAAGGACATGCCTCTAGTGTCCAAAAACCGAGGACTCTCTCTCACACTATAGAACCGGTTTTGGTTTCTCATCACTGATGTTGTTCTTTACATGAGAACATACCAAATTCAGAGAGTTTCACTCTCAACTTTTTTTACAATTTTATGATAGCTATATATGTACAATGGGCTAAAGAGTAATCGCGTAAGGCCAACTAAGCACAGCCACATGTTCAACAACGGGTGATGGGTGTTATATCGATGATTATGAGTCATTGTCCGAGTCGGAGATTAGCTCTGGCATGTCGTCAATGTTAATTCTGAACCACGCTAAGAAGCTTGAAAATGGAGAAGACGGTGCGAGGAGTGGAGTCATCTGAAACAAGGTCAGCCTCCGAGTCATCTGAAGTGAGGCCAGCCTCGTTGTCACAGTCGTAATCCTCCTCAGTAGGCATAGTCATGTCATCAGAATCCTCCTCATCACTAGGGTCGGTTGGTTGTGAAGGAACATCAGCTCGGCATAGTGGACAGACCCTGTTGCATATTAGGGATCATATGAGATCATTCGTAAAAGATGGAAAATGTGTTACAAACAAAAAGAAAAGAAAACTCATTACCCCTGAAACTCTGTTAGCCATGGATCCAGACAGTCCCGGTGGAATTCATGACCACAATCCAATATCCTTAATGTATCTCCTTCCTCATACTCCGATTGGCATATGATACATCTGAAAATACCCGCAAAGTGAAAACATGTTTAAAGGTAATGTGTAGACAAGACAAACAATAAAACTAACTTACTGTAATGAACCCTCTTCTAGGCTTTCTAGGCTTTGTGGAGTGGTGTAGAATCGTGTAGGCAAATTGTCAACAATATGTTGAGGTGTGACATAGACAGCAACAACAGGCA